TTCAGTCAGTTTTTGTAATGTTTAGCATACACATTCTATACTTGTTTTTTAAAGTATTTACTTGCTAAGTATTTGACTTTTAGGGAGCTGTCATAAATGTATTGCTTTTGAAATTTTGATCCCCAGTAATGTATTGCTAGAATATAGAAATATAATTAATTTCTCTGTGAGACCTTGAATGTGGCAACATTACTTAACTTAATTCTTAGTTCTAACAATTTTTTTTTTGTTTTGAGTCCTTCCTATTTTTTACCTCCATGATATTATCTGTGAATACAACTACATTGTCTGTAAATTTTTTCCTTCTTTTCTAATTTATGAGCTTTATTTTTCTTGCCTTATTGAACATATTAGGACTTTGAGTACAATGATTAATAGAAGTGGTGAATTTTTTTCAGTCTTTCACCAGTATTATATTAGTTATACCTTTTTTTTTTTTTTGATAGATACCTTTTATATAATTGAAGAAGATTTCTTTTATTCTTATTTGGTGAGAATTTTGTCATTAATAAATGTTGAATCTTTCAAATGCTTGATATATTTTTAAAATTTCCATTTTTGTTATGATGCTAAGAAAGAAAGACCTCTTACCCTTTGAGAAGACATGGAGGGACCTGGAGAGTATTATGCTAAGCTAAATAAACCATTCACATGATGCACCTATTTATGGACAATCATGAACAAAATAAGTAACAAACAAAATAGATCCAGAGACATGAAAGTAGGGAACAGACTGATAAACTTCAGAAGGAGGGAGGATGGGGCCAAGAAAAGGTAAACCAAAGAACTTATATGCATATATGTGTAACCCATAGACACAGACAATAGTGTCAATGGGGAAGAGAAAGAGACATTTGTAATACTTTCAACAATAAAGATTTTTTTAAAATGAAGCACCTTTACTATTAAGTTATTAAGTGTTCCTTGCAAACAACTAATAAGGAAATACTGCCAATTTGATTTGTATCTCATCTCTCTTAGTCTACTCTAGCAATAAATTTTTCCAACCTCCAGATTGTTAAATAGCACATACTGTCTTGATTTTTACCTGCAAATAACAAGCAAGGGAAGTATGAATTCCCTCATAAATTAAAGATAATTACAAGTGCTTAAAAAAAAACTATTTCGACTCATCTTATTACCCATTTTTAATTCAACGTTTTTAGGCACATGTAAGTGACCATATCAAATTAATCTGGTGCTACAAATAAAGTGCTTTCTTAATTTTAGCTAACTTGGTTCAGTTTTAGTAGAAAGTTTAATTTTCTCAAAGACACTCATTTTTCCAATTATGATATGTTTTTTATAGTCCTAAAAGGATGAAAAAATTGTAGAAGATAACATATTTTACTTTAACTACTGCTGATAAAAATTCTGATTGTGAATATAATTTATAAATTTACTATAATTTGCTGAATACTAGTAGGGAAAAGTATAAAGGCAAATATTTAAAGATACTATTCATATCCATTCTGTGGGTTTGTTTGATAACTTATTTCTTTGTTTTCTGTATAAAGGAAAGGAAAGAATATCTTAAATTTTATAATCTTCAGCAAAGAAAATAACAAGAAAAGAATCAAAATAGAAGGGCATATTTAGTTTTATAAGTAAATTTAAATTTTTTGTTATGAGCAAATAAATACAAAAACAAAATTTCTGTCCTTTTAGTCCTCACTTTGAAATAGATTAAAAGGATATATAAAGTGTCTACTTCAAAACTTTTCTGTAATTATCCACCAATTCAGGGTACACATATTCCAATAATAAATTATATATTTAAAAAATAATAGTTAATACTGTGTTCAAGTTGAATTTGAAGGGAAAACATTCTAGTGATTAGTTTGTATGGAAGAAGATCAAGTTTTCACTCTGCTGAGACTTAAAAAGCTACAAGTGTGTGAAAGTTCAAATTTTACTTTCTTCCTAGACTTAAAAGATAATTTATAAATGTACTAGGTAGAACTCAATTTTTAGAGAACGATGTTGGAAAACATCTGAACGCCTTTCTCCTTCTAAATTAAATGATGTGATACATATGGCTACTTTTTCTATATTTCATTTTTCTATGCAAATACTGTTATTTTTATATTCAGGTTATTGCAAATGAGTTTTCTGACACCCTTGGAGCCTGGACAATGACATGTTATTTTGTATAATAAAGCCAGTGTGGGTTTTTTATAGTGAATTATTATATGTTTGTTAAGGCAAAATGGCAATTTCATTATGATAGTTATAAACACACACAAATCTCTCACATTCCTACCTATTTTAATGGATGAATGCAAGCATTATTAGTAACTTCTGATACTATGCTACTGATTAAATTGCAAATTTTTAAAGTTGTACTTTTGTGAAATTTGACAATAATAACCAAACTACTTTTTTATTTTTGCATTTTTAATTCCCTTCCTCATTTCTCCTCCTTTATATATCTATTTTTTTCTCTTTCTCTATTTGTTCTTGCCTTTCTCACTACTGTTATTTTTTTTTTTTTTTGTCTCTCCTTTCACAATCTTTTTTTTTTTTTTTTTTTTCTAACCTCCTGTTGTTTTTCTATTTTCATCAAAACTCTGTTTGGTAGCAATACCATTTCAAATGTTCATCAGACACTGATGCATACATAAAACATACATACACACCCATGCTTTTGCACATACATATTTAAAAACAGCTTTTCACACAATGAGAACATGTGTTTTATTTTTTACTTTGAGTCTTTCATTTTACTAAAACTCCTAGACCTTTAATAATTTGCAAACATTTTTAGATACTATCCCAATTAGAACAGGGGAAGAAAAGTTTCCCCAGTGTGTTTTCCTGTGATGACCTGAGTAAGAATCTACTTCTTATACAGCTCCATCTAATTAAAGTAATCAAAAACATAAGATTACTTATAATAGCACTTTAATTTTCTAACTAGAGTTTCCACTTTTCAAGTTACATTTTACTCTCTCTTTAAAACTCAGGATTCTCTTTTACTGAAATGTTCTAAAATATCTATCTTTAGCTTTTAAGTGATAGGAATATTGGGTTGGATACATATTTTTGACCAATTCAAAAGATGAACTAGCCTGGGCCAGTGTGGCTCAGTTGATTGAGCCTCATCCCATGCACCAAAAGGTCACTGGTTTGATTCCTGGTCAGGGCAGATGCTTGTGTTGTGGGCTTGATCCCCAATAGGGTCATTCAGGAGGCAGTCTATAGATATCTCTCTCTCTCCTTCTCTCTGTATGTCACTTTCTCCCTTTGTCTTTTTCTTTCAAATCAATAAAACATATTTTTTAAAAGATTAACTAGATTTTATTAAATTAAAATGTGTATTTTCAAGTAATAATAGTTTTAAAAATTGGAAAAACTCTTGCAAACACTTTTGCCCCTCATGTTGGTTTTCATTATTATTTTTATTACATCTTTAAGTTATCCTTAAAAATGGATAGTTTGTTGTGTTGAGAAAAAAATAAGGTGCCTCACATAGTCTAGAAAAAAATAAAACATGTTAATGAAAAATGTATGCGACCAACTACTAGTGAAAGTAGATTAAGTGTGAGAAATGAATCTACATTTTTACCCTCAATCATACATTTGTTTTGATAAAATTCATTTGAACAACAACAACATGTAACAAATAAAGACATTCGTGAGGGTTATTTTCTGTCCCCAAACTTCCAACAGACATGGAAACTTAATGCTTTCAGCTGTTATGCTTAACATGTTTTCTTTCCAGTAATATTTTGAAAAGCCAAATAATTTAAATTATGACACAAGAAGAAAAAAAGAGTAGTGTTAGTTTAAATTAGCCTTATTTATAAGGAAAACACATATTGCACTACATTAAGCCTTACCTTTGGCTCTCTGCTTTATGAATTGCACGCTCCTGTGCCCCTGGTACTTGCATGCTGGGTGATCTTGTACCGACCCATAGCTGCTTCAGAGCATAATGTGTGATATGAAGTGATGCAGAAAACAGGACATCCTTTGTCCTGGAGTCAGCTGCAAGAAGAAGGAAAGTGTATGAATGTACAGTATAGGGAGATCTATGAAAGATCTAGTCTCTTTCTCCCAAAGGACTCTGTTCCGTGATACAAGGAGAATTCAGTTCTTTTTGGCTGATCTCCATGTCAGTTTGGAAGCAGTAAAAACAACCACAAAACAAGTCTGGTTTCTCAATGTCTTGACTCTCAGTGTTTTAAATAACATTTTATTTCTTATTTTTCTTTTACTTTGTTTTTAATAACCAGGAAGTAACATCTCTCTCCATTGTTTTGTGTGAATACAATTTTTATAATAGGGGTATAGATGAGAATGCATTATATGTGCCATGCTCATATATTTATTTCATTTTTAAAACATTTATTGGAGTGACATTGGTTAATAAAATTATATATGTTTCTGATGCACAATTCTATAATACATTACCTGTATATGGCATTGTGTGTTTACCACCCAAAGTTAAGTCTTCTTCCATCACCATTTTTTTCCCCTTTACCTTCTGTCTCCTCCCACCATCCTTTCCCTCTGGTAATTTAAAGGAAGGGCCCATATCTCTTAATTGAAGAGTGGGTGACTTTAATATGATATTACATCAGGGAAGGCATAGAATCCCAGCAGATTATGTAATTATGTTAAAAATGAGTATTATTAAATAATTCACACTTTTAATTTGGAGAAATTAGGTCATTTTTCTACTCCTCCCACAAATATTCAATCTTAATATCTAAATAATGAAACAATACATTGTTATCCATCTTGGTGCTAACAGAGAATGCCAGTTATGACAGGCTCATTGTTTACTTTAACAGGTAATTTGTGGACCGGAATCATTTAATTGTTCTGAGTACATAATTACATGTCAGCAATTTCCAATTTAATTAAAATGTACAAATCTGAAGATTAAGGGAATTTTTGAATTATTAATCATTTTTCCACTAGGAAATCTTGTTGCTCTGCAGGAGATTTGTCCAGTGTACAACTATACGTATTTTTTTCCTTCTCTTTCACAGACAGACAATTTTCCCGCAGAGCCCAATTACATGGGCAGCAGGCAGCAGTTTGTTCAAAGGTAAGGCCTATTAAATAACTTTCTCAGCTTCCCCATTTGCATTCGTGTCAAAATTGCTTTGCAAGAAACTACACTTCAGATTCAAACTCGTAGAGACAACACTTTCTCTTCTTTTTTCTTTATATGTATTTCAGTAGCTCCACGTTTAAGGACCCAGAAAGAGCCAGCCTGAGAGACAGTGGGCACGGGGACAGTGATCAGGCTGACAGTGACCAAGACACTAACAAAGGCTCCTGCTGTGACATGTCTGTTAGGGAGGCACTCAAGATGAAAACTACTTCAACTAAAAGCCAACCACTTGAACAAGGTGAGTGAAGCCTTCCAATGCTTACCAAGTGTAAAGCTTAAGCAATCATTAGAAACCTATTAGCACCAGAGTTGCAGTTATTACGGTGGAATGGACCATTGATAATTTACCAAAAGAAACAGCAAATCTCAAGTTTGTCCCAGACAAAAAGCAACTATTCAGGTACCTTTGTAACAACAGAAAAAGGAAGGCCATGGATAATAGTCTTTAATCTTCTTAAAATGAGAACTTGATAAAGTCACTAGAGTTGTTCTTATCTTAATGATTGCTTCCTAACTTTTCCTATTTGCATTTTATTAACAAGGAAAATATGGCCTGTATTAATAGAAATGCACATTTTAATATATTAGTTTATAGGATTAAAATAGTAAATTCAACACTTTTAAGTGAAATGAAAACTTGGTTTGAATTTATAGTTCTTATCATGTTGGTTTATTTTAATATGAATTTTAGTTTTTAAAGAATCAAATTACAGCGAAGCCAGAGTTTTGGCTCCTTTTGTTTTGATTTACATCGAAGTCTTCATGGATATCGAAGAAGCATGAACTTGTTTACTTAGATAGAGATAAAAAAAGAAATACTCCTTAATAAATGCATACATTCTACAAGTCTATATTCAATTTATTTATTTCATAATGCCTTTTTATTAATTTTTATGTTTTCATTGTTTCAAACACAATGAAATATTTGCAAATTATTTACCCAAAGAGAATTAAACTACTTTCATGTGTAAAAATTACAGACTATAAGTAGCTTTTTTTAATGTCCAACTATAATAAATGAAAAAAATTGTTTTATAAATTGGATTTCAGAATTACAGATGTATGTTTTATTAGTTAATATAATATTAGTTTTCAAAATAGCAACAGTATTTAAATATTTAATATCATTTCAGTTTTTTAATGAAAAACTATATACTATGGGAACATTGCTGCTAAGTCATTTATTAGTTGATAGGAAGTAACTTCCTGCTGGCAATGCACTCTGTCTTATCACATATAGCTTAGCAAATATAATGTTTACTATCTTTTTTAATCGTATTGAAATTATAATACAAATATACATACACAAACATGCTTAGTATAAAAATAAATAGACATAGATGTAAATATTTCTGAACTGAATATAATTATGCTGGATTTATTTTAAGGTTGACCTCCGTAAAGTCTTCTTTTCTAAGTAATAAGTGCCAGATAGATAACTCTTTTCTGACCTTTTACCATCGCAATTTTCTGTGTAACAGTTCAAAATTGTTTCTTAAAATTATTTTGAACAAAAGCTATTTAAATACTTACCCTGCAAATGTGACTGTTTACTTGAAAGTGACTTAAATGGTCTTGATGGGCTGTGACTATGTGATATTATATGAATCTTTTAGACACATTTTAAATAATGGGTGTTGAATCTTGATATGTGAATGTACAGCATAAGATAGACCAATCTATGTATATAGTAAAGTCATTACGTAGATATTTTTTGGGCTACTATTTGTAAAGTTGCATATAGTAAATAAAGAGTTTACAGTTATTGTCATATCTTTATGAGAAACTTTCTTAACCAGAAACAAAAACAAGTACACTGTTGCTCACATTAATACTTTAATTCCTTTTCATCTACTAGCTGAGCAGTGTATTTGGTGGGTATAAAAAAGACCCCTATAAAAAAAGAAAGTTGTTTTATTTACATTTCAAAATATAATTTATACTGAAAAGGTGATCTTGTTTTATTTTGATTTTTTTAATCCTCACCCAAGGATACTTTTCTATTACTTTTTAGATAGAGTGGAAGGGAGGGAGAGGGAGAGAGAGAGAGAGAAAGATCGATATGAGAGAGACACATCAATTGGTCACTTCCCGCACAACCTTGGCCTGGGCTGAGGATTGAACCTGCAACCCAGGTATGTGTGACTTTGGGAATTGAATCTGAGACCCTTTGGTTTGTGGGCTGAGGCTCTAACTGCTGAGTCAAACCGGCCAGGGCTTAAAGTGTGATTTTTAAAAATTGATATAAAAAAGTAATATTTTTTAAAAGGTGGGTATTGTTCATAAAAGGAAATATATTTGGCATATATTTTAATTAATATGACACATAAATATCACTAGTCCAAGGGTGACCAGTAGAAATGTTTCCTGTAAAACAAATAGTTTCCACATATTCTTATTAATAAATATGGGAAAATTATTATGAATCTGAAAGCTACACTTAGGCAATCTATCAATTACATAGGAGACTGCTACTTTAAAACATGAATTTGAAGGATTAGCTGAAATAGTGTTTCATTGATTGATTCAATTCATTAATGCACTTATTTAATAAATATCTATGAAGTGCTCTCATTTATATATATAAAGGAACAAAAACAGAGTTCCTCTTAGGAGAAAGAAACAAAAAGCTAAACAAAAATAAACCTTTTCATCAGTTTTTTTCTCCTACTAAAAATTTGTAGCAGTGATTTAATAGATTTCAATTAAAAAATCAGTAGCATATTATATTTTACATTTTTTTAGCTTCCATTCCTGTTTAAATGATCTCAATTAAGAAAATAATGTTATGTTTCTGAATTGAAATATTTCTTTTAACTTAGAAATTAAAATAAATTGGAAAAAGAATCTTCACATTTTCAGTGGAACTTTTGTGCTAATGGTTTTTCTTTGCCAACGACTCAGCCTTTTTGAGCTTTTATTTTATTAGCTCAAATGTTACTTTTTCTCCACTTTTGTGCAGTTAGATATTTTCCATTTGTTCTGTTCCTGATATTTGTTTTTGTTTTATTTGCTACCATCAGTTTAATCATCTCAAATATAAAGCACAAGTATGTGTTGCCCATTATTTTAGAAGTTCAGTAGTTGAAGGTATAATGTATTGCACTACAGTTGAAGATAGCTTTAAGGATTTTATGTTCATAAACTGTCTAATAAAAAGAGGTTATTTTAGTTTATCTTAGTGTGATAAAAAAAAAGAAGAAAAAGCTCTCAAAAAATGTATACTTTTTTTTATTTAACTGTATTTTTGTGGCATCTTTTTTTCTTTTTTTAAATTAGATTTTTCTCTATTGTCCCTTCAACTCATACTATAGGTAGGCAAGAAGGTAGATAAAAATAATCCAAATGTTTTGGAATTCGTATGCTATCACAGTAGGACATTACTCAATTAGAAGTAGAAATATACATATGTCTATCTAATAAGCATTATTTATCAGAAAATTGACCAAAAGACATTTGATCTTATTTTGCTGAATTTATATTTTGGAATAAGAAAAACCAATTTATATAAGAACTAAGAAAATATGTATAATGCTATTTCTTTAAATAGGAGTCACATAGTTTTATAAAGAATACAACTAAAAAAAATTTAGGTTAACTTCTTATGCCTCAAACTATTATTCAATCTTTGACTTTAAGAAAATACTACACCTTTGAATTTCTGGCCACGAAAAACCTATAAATTATTTTCATTGCTAGCAAAAACTGTTTTCTTATTTAAAAAATTTAATAAGCTTGCCCCAAAATTTAGTATTTCTATTGATTCCAAAATAATATATATATGCAGTTTTTATAAATGCTGACTGGTGATTTATCTGAGTTATTAGTATCAAGTGATAGTTCTCAATTTGTCTTTTTTAAAAATATTTTTTCTTTATTTTATTTTAATTTCCATCACCTTTTTTCCCCTGGATTCCCTCTTCCACCTCCATCCCCCACCCCCTACAATCACCACACTGCACACTTGTCTGTGAGTTTCTTTTTTTTTTTTTCTTTTTTGCTCAATCCCTCCACCCCCTCCAACACCCCCCCACACACACACACACACACCAGAACTGTCTGTCTGCTCTTTATCTATGAGAGTCTGGGATAATCACCTTTCTTGATATCTTTGTAATTGACTGGAACCATATTCTTTAAGTCAGAAGTTAATGAAATATCATTGTACATCATGACTGTTGACAACTCATGCCAGGGATTGCAGTGAGAGTCACCGTCATGAAACTAACTTCTGTGTTGTGTGGCCATCTGTCAGTCCCTTGTCCTGTGACCAGATTTCAGGACTTGACCGATCCTCAGGTGTTGCTCCATTCAAATGATTTTATTTCTCATTTTATTTAATTGCCATATAATTTCCCTTTTTTTTTTTTCCTATTCAATTCTGTGTGTCCACTGTTATCTCTTTACTGCTAGAAAATCTGACTCCTTAAATTGCATTCTGGGTTCAAAACATTTAAAAATGGAATCCCTGATTAAAATCTAATAAAAATGAAATCAATAGAAAATTGAGAAGAACAAAAATTCCAAATGAGCCAGGTTTGCTCCAGTGAATTTCAATTTTAAAACTAAATTACACTCTTAAGGGTTGCCTTCCATCTTCCCAGAGGACATTCTAAAAAACTATGAAAACTAAAGGTAATGGATTTTTTTTGTAAGTCAATACTTAAATTTTGCTGGTGCACTCCATATTCAAAAGATAATTATGTTAGTTTAAACGACTGCAGTATTTGTTGCATGATTTCAGAGTTTGGCAAGGTTCTGAGCCCCACTCCTTTAAATCTCCCGAGGTTCTTGTCCCCTGCAGTGAGGGTGGAGCCACACATTCAGGATTTGGGAAGAAGTTATTGGGACAGAGGATTAGGACACTGAACATTAACTTGACCTACTTTGCAATTTCCCCTAGAACTGACACTGAATAGAAAAGTACTAGGATAGTACTTTTATATTCTCAAGCTTTTGCTCTATTGTCTATTCTTCATTATGGTTACTGCAGTCTGACCCTTTCAGTCAAGCACTGTGTTTTCCCAGACTTTCCCATACAGGCAGCAGCAAGTCTACTACATAAGCAAGAATACGAAGGTAATGACTATGTCCGTCCTCTCAACAGCCGTCTGGCAACCTCTGAAAATAATTTTTAAAAGAAATGTTGTTATAAATTTATTAATCGTAAATATATCTTAATAAGGAAATGGAAAATTCCGGTCATGTATGGGAGTGGGAAGGAATTGGTAAATATTT